GGTGGAGAAATCCATACTGCAGGGTGTCAGCAAGCTATCTTCCTTACCACCGATGCACATGTACACATAAGGAACTGATGCATGCTGCTGACGTATTGAAGCCCAGCCTGGCTGTACAGTACATGATACATCCGTATGAACAGATAGCTTATAAACAGCAAACACAGCAACAGTTCCCAAGTACGCCTATAGGCGCATCAATCAAGCTCTCCTATCCCCCATCAACAGCCCATACACCACGGGGCATCACACCACCCCAATTGTCGCCACTATCAACCGCATCGCCACACCCCCCAACATCCAAGTACCGCACCGCAGCATCCGCAGCTCACTCAAATCCTCTCGGAGACCCTCCAGCTTCTGGCAGGCTCGCAGGTTCAGCTTCCTCAGCCGGGTCAGCCGTGCGAAGCCAGGAGGAAGTGCGTGGATCGCAACATCTTCAAAGGCGAACTTGTTGTGAGGCAAGCCAGCTGGGTGAGAGAATCTGGAATTCGTCCCAGGGCTTCACAGTTGCGTACCTCCAGCTTCCGCAGCCGCGATTAACGCACCGATGCGGCCTGGGAGGGCGGTCGCCTTGGGAGCCCAGATCTCCAAGCAGGTTAGATGCTGGAGCGAGGTGATACTCGGTGGAAGCTCCAGCAGCCCCTCTACATGGAAAATCTCCAGCTTTCGCAGCTGGTGCAAGCCCGACGCTAAGTCTCTGGGGAACATTGTCATGTTGCCGCTGCCGTAGATCATCAAGGAGCGCAGCTGGGACAGATGGGTTAAGGGAAACGGAAGCTTCTCAGCATCATGTGACAGCAGCAGCTCTAGGTGCATCAGCCGGGGCAAGCTCTTGCTCACTGCCATTCCACACTCCGCACTAACCATGTTCAATCTCAAATCCGTGAGGTTGGGTAACCTAGAAACGTCTGGTGGTAACATTGTAACCTGGCTGTAACTCCCCAGCTTCAGGACCTCGAGAAAAAGCGGCAGCTTTTCGGGGGCATCACTCAGCGCATTACACTCTGTCAGCTCCAGCCGCTTCAGTCTGCTGAGGCCGTTCAGCCACCTGGGTACCCGAGACAGCTCCTCACAATTCGTAACGGTCAGCATTTCAAGGTGGGTCAGCCGTGTGAGGGACTCCGGACGCTCGGTGATATGGCAGGAGTACACGTGCAGTTGCTGCAGCTTATGCAGGCTCCCAATGTCCTCTGGAAGCTCTTCAATTGTGCAATCGTCTAGTTCAAGCCGGGTCAACGAAGTCAACCGGGTGAATGGCGCTGGCAGGTGTGGTTCCGTATACACCCCGTTCAGAAGAAAAGTTTCGAGATTGGTGAGCCTCGGACAGCTTCACAAGGCAGAGCGTCTCGAGAGATGTGAGCTGGCAAAAATCCATTGGAAGCTGGTCGATTTCTTGGCAGTCAATCAGGAGGAAACTCTCCAGGGAGGTGAGCTGGCAGAGTGAGTCAGGGAGGTCCAAGAGAGGCAGCTTCTGCAGCACCAGTGATTTGAGGCGAGGCAGCAGCCCGAAGTTTGTGGGCATGCTGGAAAAAAGACCGCACGAGGCGATTGTGAGGCTCGGAGTATCCACCACACCTTGAAATCTCTCGCGCCTTGGGTTGGGACTGCATCCTTGGTTCCAAGGCTCCAAGGCTTCTCTGTCCTCCACCAAAGCACCTTTATCTGCTACAAACCTCCACCCCCCACTCGCTCTGCTCCTCTAGCAGCAGTTCCCCCAACTCCCCTCTGTTTCACACCCAACTAGGTATCTTAAGTAAGTTACGTTTTAAAAGACATGAATGCCAGTCCAACCACTAGAGGCTTTGCGACCCAGCGGATATCCAAACTCCATAGAATCCATCCAAGTCTAGAGTATCTGTCAACTCCTCACAATCCTTAACACTCAACGAGTGCAGCTTCTTAAGCTCAGTAATCCCCTCTGGAAGCCCCTGCAGCTGCTTACAACCATCCAATCTGAGTCTCCTCAACCGGGTCAACTGGGCGAAGTGGGAAGGCAGACAGCGGATGGAGCAATTGATGACTACCAGCTTGTTCAGGCAGGCGAGCTGGGAGAAGGAATCAGGTAGATGCTCCAGAGATGAGCAGTAGCACAGGCGTAACTCCCGGAGCCGGGATAAGGCTCCAAGGCCATCCGGAAGAAAAGAAAGCTCTGGAGCATGCTGGATCTCCAAGGATGTTAGGTGTCGAAGCTGTGTGATGCTTGCTGGAAGATCCTTCAATTCTGCAGCACCACGGATCCTCAACTGCTGCAGCTGCTGCAGATCCGAACCAAGGTTTTCCGGAAGGTTCTTCATCTTCCCAGCCCTTGAAATTGCCAGGATACGTAGATGAGGGAAGGAAGACAAGGGTAATGGTAGCTCCTCAGCACCCTCAGCTAATCCCAGCTCCAGTTCCGTCAGATGAGATAAACTGTTGAAAAATCGCAGCCCTTGCTCGATACCGTCCAGATTCAACCGCAGCTTCCTCAGCTTCGGCAGGACAGAGAAGTCTGGCACAGCAGTGACTTGGCTGGAGGTTCCGAAGTTGAGAGTCTCAAGAGAAGGTGGCAAGCATTCAGGAAGGTTACTGAGCACTCCGCACTTGGTCACTTCCAACCGTTTGAGCCTCCCGAGCGCATCCAGCCTGCTAGGCACTGAAGAGAGCTGACTGCAGGAACCAACCGACAGAATTTCAAGGCTGGTGAGAGCAGTGACTAACTCCGGAAGCTCCCTGATTGGACAGTCATGGATGTACAGCTCTTGCAGGCTGGTCAGCTTCACAATATCCGCAGGAAGGACTTCAATCCAGCAGTCATCCAGCTCAAGTCTGGTCAGGGATGTCAACCGGGTGAAGGAACAAGGAAGCGGCTGCACGAGGCTCTCATTCAAAGCAAGCGTGTGGAGATTAGTAAGCTCTCCAATGTCTTCCGGAACCACCAGTTGCGTAGAGTGCATGAAGCAGAGTGTTTCGAGAGATGTCAGGTTGGAAAAGGCTTCTGGCAGCTGCTGAATCTGGCAGCAATGAATCAAGAAAAGTGTCTTTAGAGAGGGTAGCTTGCAGAGGGAGTCAGGGAGGTTCGACAGATGCAGATCATCCAGAATCAAGGTTTTCAGGGCAGGCAGCTGCCCCAGGTTTCCGGGCAGGTCTTCGAACAAGAAGCACGTGGAGATTTTCAGGCTTTCCAAAAAGCTGAGAGAAGCCAAGCTTCCGGGCAGATGGGTTATATTGTTGCACTCGCGGATGGTCAGGTTTCGGAGAGATGGCAGCAGCTCTCCAAAGTCATCAGGAAACCGCTCCAGCTGGTCGCAGTAAGAAATCAGCAGATTTTCCAGGCTTTTGTAAGGCGCCGCTGAAGGAAACAATATGTTGAAACTGGGACCGAATCCCCCAAATTCCAGCGACTTTAGAGAAGCGAGTTGCGAGAAGGCGAAAGCAGCAGAGCCGTGAACAGTTGTTCTGGAGGAGACTGAGAGGCTTGTAAGGCTTGAGAGGCGAACGAGGCTTGACAACTGCTCTCGGGTTAGCTTCGAGGAGGCAATGTGCAGGGTGGCGAGAGAAGAAAGGTTCACCAGATCAGGAGATTCTAGTGCTGACGCGTCGGTTAGTACAACCGTGTGCAGATCTGTCAGTAGGAAGAAGGACGCCGGAAGCTGAGTGTCCCTGTGGAGGCAATAAAGGGATAGCCGCTGCAGCTGAGAGCACTGCCTGAAGAAATGGTCCAGACCAGATTCGGTAATCGGATGGAGATGCTTTCTGGCGTCGTAGCTAAACGGCGTGATCCTGTAACCCACATGAAGAACCGTCAGCTTCGGACACGCAGATGCGAGGTGAGCGAGGAACGCGTCGTCAAGCGCCTCCACGCTGTCGTTTTCCAGATGGAGATGGGTGAGGCTCGGAAAGCAAGACACGGAGTTGGAGAGATCTTGGAGCGAAACGACGCGATCCTTTTCAACGAGAAGCGAGGAGACGTAGCGTCGAGCGAGTAGACGCCAGCGTCGGCAGATGGATGCGATGAGGAGGTTATACGCTGCATCTGCTAAGGCGGGAGGGATCGGTAGCACGGCCTTGTCTTCCTGGCTGCCGTCTTTCTCGGCTGAAGAATTCGCGTAGAAGTAGTTCGGCTGCAGATCCAGTGAGGACCATAAAGCGTCACTGTCAGATTTGTAAGACGATGGCGGGTTCGAGGAATGCCATAGAATGCGGATGAGAAGCTCGTCAGGAAGCCTATCAATGTACGTGCGATTCTCCATCTCGTAACTCCAAAATGAGAATTGCAATGGAAATTGAAGCGTAAAAAAAAAATGAAGATGGCGAGAGCTGATGAAACAAGGAAAATCTCGGCTGCTCTCCGAGGCTGGACTTGGTGAAACCGACGGAATGGATGCTCAAGAGGAGAGACAAAAAACGAAGCGGTGGAACTAAAGCTATTGCTATTGAGATGTCAACCGGAAACAGATTATCAATGGTCCACTGAAGAAATCCCCTAGAGGTCGCTGGACGCAAGAGCTTGTTCTACCTTAGCTCCGTTTCTGAGGGAGAGGAGCTTAGCCTGGGATGATGGGATTCCCGAAAAGGTCGGGATGGGGAGGGTGATTCCTACCGATCTCCGGGACATGTTCTCTTGATGGTTAGGCAGTACACGTCTACGTTGTGAAAAACTGTTACCACGGGGCACTGACTTTCCGGTTAAGCGCCCTTTGCTCATTGAGGGTGGAAAAAGGGAAAATCGGGTACTCTATTGGACCGAAACTGAGGTGCGTTTTGCTTCACTAAATGAGGCAGATCAGAGTCGAATTAGGAATAGGTCCTAGCACAATGTTCCAGGGCGGTGCGTGCACAGCTGCTCCTGAGCCCAGACGTTCGTTACTCGCTAAAGCCAACATACTGCCGCCTCCATTCCAGTTCCCGTAAGAAACAATAATAGTGCGTGCACAAATTCAGAAGGGAGGCATAAAATATCACAAAGCAACTAGGGCGTCAACCCCTGCATGTCATAAACGCCTCGGTACAGAATTCTATGCCTAAACAAAATAACAAAGCATCACGCTCTGCGACCATTGAATAGCAAATCACCCGAACTCTACACACAACCCATACATGCCATGGTCTACGGATCTCCATTTGTAGCAAAACATGTTGACTATTGTTGGAAATACCTCAAGGACTTAAGCGTTTCTGAAGTGTAACACCACACTCGAGTGAAGCCGTATCGAGTATGCGAGTCAACGGAGGTTACACGAGGAGGTTGGACGAAAGAACACGAAAGGACGAAAGACTCGAAGGGTCGCAACCGAAGGTTGCGACTGACCGTTACAACTGCAAGAGTGGTAACCGAATCGACCATCGAGTCGCTGTGCGACTCGATAACCGTTCCTTCAACTGTATTCTACAACTGCTTTACTTTCCTATTTTCTATATATTGCTGTATGCTTATTTCCTTTACTCAATCACTTGCTCCATACTAGTGCAAGGGTTCAACTACTCAACTTCCGCTGCACTACTCAAGTATCTTGTACAACTAGGACTTAGTCTTTGAAAGATCCTAAGGGCTTTTTCTCAGCACAACATGGTATGAGAGCTGGTCAGAGACCAAACTCCCAGCAACGACGCTCTATCGACAGTTAACACTTCAACAAACTTCATCGATTATAAGTCATGGACAACAAGGGCAAGAAGATCTCTACGGGCTCACCCAGCGCCCAAGACACCCAACCCGGCAATTCTGGACTACACACCTCAGGACTGCAAACCGAGACCGGCGCTGCTCAAGAAACAACAGGGAGGGCACAAGAAATGGTGACCCCATCACCCTCCTCAAGCGTGGACCCGAACCTTATGGAAAGGTTCTTCAGCTTCATGTCGCACTTCGACCAGCAGCAGCAGACAAGGACACCTGCACATTCAACACAGAGCAACGGAGGAAATATGGGATAAGCGCCAATGAGCCTCGACAACTCATCGTTCGGGCGGCACAATCAAGCGCCTACCTTTGCGCCTTATCACTCTTCACCGGCGACGTTCGAGTTCATGCCGCCCCGTGCCCAACCAACAGCAGCTGCATCACAACAGACACCAAACGAGATATTGAGTCTCCAGGCGCAGTTTTCACACGTGATCAAACTGCAGACTGTCAAACATGTGTATTTGTCATGTTTGTATAGACTGTATAGGGTCGCCTCTTAGAGAGTACAACACGTAGGTATATCTGTGTGTACTCTCACTCTATCTTATTATTCACTTCTCAATTTTGATATGGTATCACGCGTAGGTAGGATCCCCCCCCACCTACCGCTTCCGCTCACCCCTCTAGCCCCTAGCCCCGTCGCGACCCCCCCTAGCCCCGTCGCGCCCCATCCTGGGCCCTGTAGCGCCCCTCCTGGGCCCCGTCGCACCCCTCACTGGGCCCCGTCGCGCCCCTCCCAGGCCCCGTCGCGCCCCTCCTAGGCCCTGTAGCGCCCCCTCCTGGTCCTCGTTGCGCCCCTCCTGGACTCCGTAGCGCCCCTCCTGGGCACCGTCGCGCCCCTCCTGGGCCCCGCAGCGCCCCTCCTGGGCCCCGTCGCGCCCTTCCTGGGCCCTGTAGCACCCCTCCTGGGCCCCGTCGCGCCCCTCCCAGGCCCCGTCGCGCCTCTCCTGGGCTCCGTAGCGCCCCTCCTGGGCCCCGTCACGCCCCTCCTGGGCCCCGTAGCGCCCCTCGTGGGCCCCGTCGCGCCCTTCCTGGGCCCTGTAGCGCCCCTCCTGGGCCCCGTCGCGCCCCTCCCAGGCCCCGTCGCGCCCCTCCTAGGCCCCGTAGCGCCCCTCCTGGGCCTCGTCGTGCCCCTACTGGGCTTCGTAGCGCCCCTCCTGGGCCCCGTCGCGCCCCTCCTGGGCCCCTGTAGCGCCCCTCCTGGGCCCCCGTCGTGCCCCTCCTGGGCCCCGTAGCGCCCCTCCTGGGCCGCGCCGAGCCCCCCCCCTTCTGGGCCCCGTCACGCCTTCCGGCCCCGTCGCGCTCGCCCGGCCCCGTCAACCCAGCCCGGCCCTGTCGCACCAGCCCGGCCCCGTCGCACCAGCCCGGCCCCGTCACGCCCGCCCGGCCCCGTTGCACCCGCCCGGCCCCGTTGCCCCCTGCCCGGCCCCGTCGCAGCCGCCCGGCCCCGTCGCACCCGTCCGGCCCCGTCGCGCCCGCCCAGCCCCGCCGCACCCGCCCGGCCCCGTCGCCCCCTGCCCGGCCCCGTCGCAGCCGCCCGGCCCCGTCGCACCCGTCTGGCCCCGTCGCGCCCGCCCAGCCCCAGTGCGCCCCTCCTGGGCCACCGTCCTGCTCGCCCGGCCCCGTCGCACCGGCCCGGCACCGTCGCACCAGCCCGGCCCCGACGCACCTGCTCGGCCCCGTCGCACCAGCCCGGCCCCGTCGCGCCCCCCCGGCCCCGTCGCGCCCGTCCGGCCCCGTTGCACCGGCCCGGCCCCTGCGCTCGTCCCTGCCCCGGCCCCGGTCCTCCTCACTGGTACGGTTTCCCCCCCCCCCCCCCCCCCCCCCCCCGCCCTGCACTGCCCTGCACCGTACTGCCCCGCACTGCACCGCCCCGCACCACCCTGTACTGCCTGGCACCGCACTGCACCGCCCTACACCGCACTGCACCGCACTGCATCGCACTGCACCGCACGGCACCGCACTCCACCTTGCTGCACTGCCCTGCACTGCACTGCACTGTTCCTGATGGCGGCGGAGCTTCGCTTCGACGCTGAAGGCCAGCCTCTGGAGTTCGAGGCGTGGCTTGCCGACCTCCGTCGCCAACTCACTGGCCAGCGGCAGGATGGTGAACCGCTCTCCGCACACCTCGACGGTACGCTCCCCTGCCCAGACCCCCCTGCTATTCTGCCCGCTGACTCCGCACCCACTGAGCGCGAGTCTACTGCTGCCACTGCCCGTGCGCGCTCTGTCTGGCTTTCTCGAGATGCTGTCGCTCAGCTTGCCATCAGCAACGCCCTTCCCCCGTCCGAGCGCCCTCGCTTTAGGTCTCTCACCACTGCTCAGGCATACTTAGATGCTGTCATCCAGCGCTATTCCACCCCTCCGGCTGCCTCAGTGGGTCGCCTGATCCTCCCGATGCTCTTTCCTGACCTTGCATCTTTCCCCACTGTCTCTGACCTCGCTGCCCACCTGCGCTCGATAGATGAGACCTGGCGTGCAGCCTGCACTGATGCACAGCTTAGAGCCCACCAGCCGCCCATTACCTCTACCCTCTACCTGCTTGCCACCCGCCTCCCTGACCGCCTTGCTGTCGCCCGCAACCGCTTCCTTAGCATTCACCCCGCAGACCTCACCCTTACTGACTTTGTAGACACCCTGACTGTGATAGAGACCCGTCACCGCTCCAGACCGGTCCTCGCCGCGGTTTCGTTTGCGGTAGGCTCGGTCACTCCACTCCCCGCTGTTTTCGTCGCCTGGACGACCTCTTTCGTCAGCGCTTCGGCCCGTCGCCAGACCTCCCGAACTGGCACAGTTTGCTTAGTCGTAAGATTCAGATTTTTTATATGGACATGGATGCCATTGTTGTTGCTCTGCATGTGATGTATGCTGATGACTCTAGTGTGCTTCCCGCTTATTACTCACTGTTGCCTAGTGTAGGTATGCCTAGCTTAGCCTCCCCTGCTGCGTCAGGCATAGGATCCCCTGCTTTGTGTAGTCTTGGTGCTTCCGCCGTCGTTCCGTTGCCAGACGCCTCTGCTTCGCTTTCCTTCACCTTGGACTCTGGCGCTTCTCGGTGTTTCTTCCGCGACTCCACCACCCTGACGCCGCTTCCTGTCCCAGCTGCCGTCTCTCTTGCTGACCCCTCCGGCGGTCCGGTCGTCGCCCGCAGTTCCACCACCCTTCCCTGTCTGGCAGTTCCTTCGGGCTCTCTCACAGGTCTGCATATCCCCTCGTTCTCCAGGAACCTAGTTGGTGTCGGCTGCCTCCAGGACCTTGGCGTCACCACTACGTTCCCTGGTCACGAGCGGTATGCTGTCTGTACCGAGGCCGCCACTGGTGCCCCCCTGTCCACGTTCCCCCGGGACCCGGTGTCCGGCCTGTTCACTCTGGACACCGTGACCCCCCCGGCTGGGGCGCCTCCTCAGGTGGCTGCGTCTACCCAGGTTGCTGCTGCCTGCTCCTGTCGGTCCCGCACTCACCCGACTCTCCTTTGGCACCACCGCCTAGGTCACCCTGCGCTCCCGCGTCTGCGTCACATGTCCCAGCACGGTCTTGTCCTTGGTCTCCCAGGTTCCCTCCCCGCGTTTCCCTCCTCCCCAGCCCCACCTTGCACGCCTTGTGTTGAGGGTCGGCTTCGCCGTGCCCCGCACTCCTCCTCGTTTCCCCCTACCGCCGCGCCGCTGCAGACCCTGCACCTGGACGTCTGGGGCCCCGCCCCCGTCCCTGGGCTGCGTCGAGAGCGCTACTTCCTAGTGCTTGTCGACGACTTCACTCGTTACACCACAGTCTTTCCCCTGGAGCGCAAGAACGACGTGCCTGGCGCTCTCATCCCCTGGCTTGTCTCTGCGCGTGTCCACCGCGGTCTCCCTGTCTTGCGTCTTCACTCCGACCGTGGTGGCGAGTTTGCCTCAGGTGTCCTTGGTCGTTTTTGTCGTGCGGAGGGCATCACCCAGACGTTCACCCTACCGAACCCCCCACAGCAGAATGGGGTCGCTGAGCGACGCATCGGTTTGGTCATGGAGGTGGCTCGCACCTCCATGATCCATGCCGGTGCACCCCATTTTCTGTGGCCGTTCGCTGTGCGCTACGCTTCTCACCAGCTTAACTCGTGGCCGCACCCTCAGCAGCCGCAGGTTTCGCTGACCCGTCTTTGGACTGGGTCTCCTGGTGACGCGTCTGCGTTCCACGTCTGGGGCTGCCTTGCTCACGTCCGTGCCTCCGGCACGGACAAGCTCACTGCCCGCACCCTTCCCTGTGTCTTCCTTGGTTTTCCCCTTGACGCGTCCGACTGGCACTTTTACCACCCGCCGTCTCACAGCATCTTTCACTCTCGTGACGTCACCTTTGACGAGTCCGTCTCCTACTACCGTCGCTTCCCCCACCGTGGTCCCCCGGTTACCCCCCCCTTGTTCCTGGTCACTCCTTCCCCGGTAGTTCCTGCCCCTCCTCCTCCTCCTCCCCGTCCCGCCCCCTCTGGTGTGTCCCACGTCACCCCCCTTCCGTCGGTGGACCCGGTTGAGGAGTCTTCTGACTCTGGTGGCCCTCCTGTTCAGTCCTCGCCGGCCGCCCCTCCCCTGGCGTCCCCTCCCCAGTCCCCCCCTCCTCCGCCGCCGCCGCCGCCGACGCCGCAGTCGTAGCACCCGTTCGCTGCCTCTGGGGGTGCTCGTCCTGGTAGCCCTGGGGGTGGTCCCTCTGGGGGTGCTGGTGTGGAGAGTGCCGGTGGTAGCCGAGGAGCAGCTTGCGGTCCCGGTGTAGCCGTTGTGCCGCCGCAACAGCAGTCCCCGCCGGTGTCAGCCCTTCGCCTGCTCGGCCTTCCGTCCCCCGACCCTGCGTCGGTTCCTCCCCGGCCGTCTCCTCCTCTTCCTGTCTACGGCCCTGTCTTCCCTCCGCCGGACTCGTCCCCGGCCCGTCTTCCCCCTCGTTCCCCTCCTGGGTCCCCTCCTCTGTCCCCTGACCCGACTCCTCCGTCGCACGTCTGGTCTCACCGTCCCTCCCGTGCTCGTCCTGCCTCGCCTGTCTTGCGCTCCCACCCTATGTTGCTTCGGTCCCACGCGTCTCGTCCTCCCCTTCTGCCGTCGCCTCCCCCGTCCTCCCTTGTTGTTGCACCCCCCCCGCTGTCTTACTACCTTCGTGCCGCTCGTCCCCTTGTTCCTCGGGTCCTTGCCTCTCTCGTTACCGACCCGTCTGTTCCGACCTCGTGCCTTGACGCTTTTGT